GTATATTTGCCCTCTACCAGACTCCTGCACCCCACTGGTCTGGGTTTGTCACAACAGTTACACAATTTTTAGCCCTAGTTTTTAATTCAAAGAACTATTTTAAGCTCCACATTGGCTCCCAATTAAATATAAGTGTGACGTTCCCCTCTGATGTTATCTGCTAGGTCACTCCAATCCTTGACTCCGGGTGCCAGCCTGACTCCACACTGCTGTGAGAACCCCCACTCCTGGGCTGTTCACGCACAGCCTCTGGCACATGAGCTGTTCCTTGGATTGTGCAACTGAATGACACTAGCCAATATCTCCGGTCCCAAACACAACCCTAGGAACCTCCATCTTGCAGTGTCCAGTGATGCCCGCTGGACACTGCAAGCTTATATGAGTTCATCAATTTAACAAAGAAATTGGCATGTACCAGGCTTGTTATCCCAAGGGGAGTCTCTGACATGCTTCAAACCAAATGCACTGCTTCAGATAGAATAAACAAACAGATTTATTAACTACAAAGATAGATTTTAAGTGATTACAAGTAAATCAGATTTGGTCAAATGAAATAAAAGCAAAACACATTCTAAGCTGATCTTAACACTTTCAGTGTCCTTACAAACTTAGATGCTTCTCACCACAGGCTGGCTGGTTGCCCTTCAGCCAGGCTCTCCCCTTTGATCAGCGCTTCAGTCGCTTGGTGGTGGTGATGTCTGTAGATGAAAATGGAAGAGAGGAAGAGCATGGCAAACATCCCTTTTATCATGTTCTTTCTTCCCTCTTGGCTTTGCCCCTCCCCCTTCAGAGTCAGGTGCTGGGTGATCCCCCGAGGTACAGATCATCACAATAACGTAATTATTATTTGAAATGTATAGCCATTAAAGAGCTTTGGTTATTACTTGAAAACCAATTCAAATTGAACGGTAAGTTATAATCAACTTATTAATAATTTGGCACTTCCATGGAAGTTTTTATTACTGGCGAAAGGAATAATTACCAATAAAACCCAATATCTTCATTTTAATTTCAAGTGTTACTTTCCACATTGTCTTGATTCATTAAGATTTTTGGCTGCTTGGTTACATATTTAGTATGAAGCAAGTGTTTTTATGTATCTATGTAGCATTTATAAGCCCTGCCATAGGGCTAAGGCTACTGACATAGAAAAACAAACAGAGTGAGGCACTGAAATTGTGGGGCACTCCATAGAGCCTGTGTCACATATGCACCACTGTCACAGGTTACCCCCCACTCCAAGGTGCCACCTGATATACTGGGGTACCACTGAACCCGTCTCTTCCACCAGCCTGGGCTCCCTTCCACTGTCCTACTGAAACTGGCCCTCAAGCCTTCTCCAGCACACACAGGTAGGGACACATCCAGCTGCAGAAAGACAGAGACAGTGAAATCAGCTGTGTGTGGGAAGGCTTCAGCTAACGAATTGCCCAGCACTCAAGTGCACACTTCCTCTGGAATGTAAACCCCAAACCGTATGGTCTTGCACTGCACAGAGACCTGTGTAGCGCAAGCTCATGAAATTCACTCCCTCCCTCAATGTGTAGGAAGATATGCACAGCTTTTTGCCCCCCAGTTATGAATTCCACAAACTGGTTTTAGAGAAAACAAAAACAAGTTAACTACAAAAGATAGATTTTAAGTGACTATAAGTGATAGAAAACAGATCAAAGCAGATTACCCAGCAAATAAAACAAAAACACAATACAAGCTTAAGATACTGAAAAACTGATTACAAGTAGTTTCTCCTCACCCTAAATGTTATTTTAGGCAGATTGCAGAGTTTCTTGAAGGCCAGCTGTTCTTGCTTGCAGCTTAAAACTCCAGGTATTTTTTTAACACACAAATAGGATCATATTCAGCAAATTATAACCTTCCCAAGGATCTCACTTGCCTTATCTTGCACAAAACATATAATAGTTATGCTATAATCATATGAAGAATATAGGGTGTAGTGTTACACCTCCCCCCTTAGATTACTGCCAGAAGGTTAGTCACTGACTAATGTGAAGGCAGTGTGCCTAATGCCCTTCTTAGGTCTTGGGTATCCAACTTCCCAGTGTTACCAAAAATTGGAGTGTTTTTACAAAGTTCTTGGTTTCTTTTTTCAGGTTGCCTGAAAGCATTCCAGTGTGGAGCATTGTTAACACAATGTAGATATCAATATCTTTTAGAGTGCTGGTGTCTTGGCATTTGGCCACCAATGCCATGAGGTAGTGTGCCTCGGTTTCCTCTTCCACACAGCAGTCTAGGTTTGTTCCGCTTTCTCTGCTGTGCCAAGTTCTAAGCCTGTTTACAGGTACTACCTGAGAAGCAGTATTCTTATAGAACAGTGGCTCTCAAACTTTTTTTACTGGTGACCTCTTTCACATAGCAAGCCTCTGAGTGCGACCCCCCCTTATAAATTAAAAACACTTTTTTATATATTTAACACAATTATAAATGCTGGAAGCAAAGCGGGATTTGGGGTGGAGGTTGACAGCTCACGACCCCCCATGTAATAACCTTGCGACCCCCTGAGGGGTCCCAACCCGCAGTTTGAGAACCTGTTATAGAACTTCCTTGTTGCCACTTCTAGCATGTTCAGCAGTACCTTCCAAAAATTATTCATGTTGCACATTTTTAAAGGATTTACTATCAGTAACGAATTTTTTGCCACAACCAACAGATTGTGTATTATGAGACATAACAGTACCAGCAAATTCATAACAGGGAGGCGTTTCCAAGTATGTTTTTATTATACCACATCTTCTGTTTAGACAGACTGGCTTGTTCTGCATTTATTGTGTTTTGCAGCCCCTTCCTGAACTATAGTATGTGTTCAGGTATTGATTTTTTTCCCCTTTAGTGTTTTGTTCAGTATCCCCCTCAGTAAAGGTTCTCAATTCATGTATATCTTTGGGGCTTTGGTGAGGAAAGAGTGTAAGGAAACCTTGCATGTTACTGGCCAGCCCCTTGTGGAGTTGCATTCCATCTCCAGAGCTAAGCCCATGCGAAAAATCCACCACCACCCCCCATCCTGGGGATTTTTTGTAATTTTCACTCCTAGTGTTGGAACCTACCCCACCCTATTTTTTTCAGCTCTTGCTTAGCTGCTCTGAGGATTTTACCTGCCCAGGAAAGTGCATCTTCCTCCCCTTTCTCAGGGGGGTTATCAGCATTTTCACTGACACCCAAGTTGTTAGAAAGACTCTCATCCTGCCTTAAAGAGACAGAGTTAGTTTTCACAAGTACACCAGGAACAACATTTTGCAAAAGTGGGACCTGGATTGTGGTACCCTCGGTCACCCCCCTCTCTGTTCTGAAGAAGTCAGTTGTATGACTGCTCCCCTTTGGAGATCAGTTACACAGTTCCCTATTAAAACCTGAGCCATAGATAGGATGCCTGGCAGCACAGCTGCCGATCCAACAAATTTCTCCTGGGCAAACCCTCCCATGTAATCAGTGAGGAGACATTCCTGTATCCCCACACACACACACACACACACACACACACACACACACACATTTCTTCTTAACTTCCTTCTCTGGGACCCCCCTCTAAGGCACACACCTCTGTGCTCTCTAGAGTGGGATCTATCCCCTGTTCAGCTGTGGGCTCACAGCTGACAGACAGAACAATCCTTTCACTGGTAGGCACTACATCCTCCTTCCTCTTTGAATTGGGCTTGCCTCCAGCTACAGAGCCCATGGAACCCTCACCCATCGCAGCAGTCTCTAGGATTCCACCACCCTCCTCTGAGCTTCACTCTAGGACACATTTCCCTGCAACCTGGACAGTCTTCTCACAGACAGGCAAAACATTCCTTTCCCCTGAGGAAAACATGCCTTTAGCCACTGGGCCATAGGAGCTGGTCTCAACCACACTCACCACTGGTAGCAGACTGTTTTCCACTGCTGCAGAGGAATTAAACATACACTCTCTCCCATTTCCCCAGCAGTTCCTAAGACTTCACTTTTTCCCTCTGAGGCTTCAGCACAAGAATCCTCCTTGCTGCTGACAGACCCCTGGACAGCCTGAGCCACATTGAAAAAGTCATTTCCCAATAATAATTGGGTTGGGTTATGGGGAACAGCAGCAACCATTAATTCAGCTTGCAAATCCTCAGTTTCCATGTGCACTTTAGCCAAAGGCACAAAGATTTTGTGACCTCCTCCTAACAAAAGCTCTGCCATCTGTCCTGGCAGTATGTCTTTCTCCTGAACAAGGTCTCTCCTGACCACAGAAATTTCTACACCTGTATCCCTCCACCCAGGGAGTTCCTTGCCATTAACTCAGACAGCCTTTATGTGCTTTCTGCCTGGCTGTGCAGTGGCTACTTTTACAAAGGCTGTATAATAAGTGGCAATTGTCTGAGGTGCCTCTGTGCTCTGGGTAACAGCATTTCCATGAATTGCTTGGAAATTTCTTCCTCAGGTGCTCAGTGGAATTACGATAGCACCTTCTGGGCTCTTCTGTTTTCCCAGGACATTTGGGACGAGGACTAGAGGAATGAACTTGGGGAGGTGAGCCTCCAGCCTCCCATCCACTCTCCTCCTTTCCAGGGGTAAAACGGGACCCCTGCTTCCCGCCAAACTTAAACCCCTCTGCCTGTGATTTATTTCTAATAGATGCTTGGGACTAGTCAAATTCATCCACAGAAGTAACAAGTTGCTCCACAGTTTTCGCTTCTTTGTCCCATAGACATGGTTTTACATCATCATTACATATATTTAGGAAATATTCCTGAGCAACAATATCACACATTTCTTCAAAGCTTGAAATACCTTTCCCACTTATCCATCAAATCTCTCATTTGGTTTACATATGCCACATTACTCATTCCAGCTCCTGTGGGGAGTCAGAAATGTTACCGCTGTGGTAAGCCGGGTCACCATGCATCAGAATGCTGGTGTAAGGATGACCAAGGAGACACCTCGTCGCAAGAAGAAGTGCCACTGCATGTTTTGTCTTTGGCAGTGGGCTCACATGAATACTGGGTAACCCCGTCGTTGGATGGCAAACCTACATGCATGGAACTGGACACCGGTGCAGCCGTCTCACTGGTCTCCGAGACTGTGTATAAAGAAAAGCTACAGCATCTTCTGCTTAAGGCAACAAAAACTGTTCTGAAGACGTATACGGGAGAAGCTGTGCCCATGTTGGGCACTATTGAAGTTAAGGTGGAGCTCAATGGACAGACGGCTAAATTGCCACTGTTTGTGGTGAGAGGTAATTACACAGCCTTAATGGGTAGATCTTGGCTTAGGATGATTCAGCTGAACTGGGCAGAAGTGCACCAAATGACTAAAGAAGAAACTGGTCTGACCGCTATACTAAGGAAACATGCTGCTGTTTTTGGAGAGGATCTGGGAAGTATGAAGAGAATCACTGTGACGTTGAACATTAAACCTAACAGTCAACCAAAATGTCTGAAAACCAGAACTGTGCCATATGCCATCAGACTGAAAGTTGAAGTGGACCTGGAGCACCTGGTCACAAATGGAGTCCTAATACCAATTACCCATAGCCCATAGGCAACTCCTATCATTCCAATAGTGAAGAAAGATGGCTCCCTCCGGATTTGCGGTGATTTGAAAGTCACCGTCAACCCGGTGTTGTGTGCAGAGCAATACCTGCTTCCCCGAATCGATGACCTCTTTGCGGGCCTGGCTGGAGGACAAAAAGTTCAGTAAGATTGATCTATTGACTATTTGT